TTTTTTTCTCTATTTTAATTTAAATTTGTTTTAGTTTATTTTCTTTTAATTTTAAGATTTTATTGTTTCCAAAAGAAGAATAAATATTTTTTTTTTTTCAATTTCCGAGTGAGCAGACACTGCCGAGCTATTCGAGTGATACCAGGTTCGAGTCCTCGGGCAGCGGATTTGTTTTTCTTGTTTTTAATTTAAATTTGTTTTAGTTTATTTTCTTTTAATTTTTACATTTTAAAAAGAAGAATAAATATGTTTTAATTTAAATTAATTTTTAGATACATAATACATTTTTTATTTTCTTTAATTTTCTGTTCTTTCGGGTTTCTTTTAATTTTTAGATTTTATTTTAAGAAGAAAAAAATGTTAAATATTTTTGTTATGTCATATACATAATTGTTAGGAACCTTTAAAATTTACTTTTCTTTTAATTTTTGGACTTTATTACTTAAAATGAAATATATATTTTCGGGTTTAATTAAATTTTCAGAAACTGGTTTTATTTATTTGCTTATTTTTTAATTTAATTTTCTCTAAATTTTTAGATATTATTGTTTGAAAAATAAAAATGTTTATTTTTTATTAAATTTAATTAGGAACTTATTTTTTAAATTTAATTTTCTTTTAGTTTTTTAATTTTATTCTTTTAAGAAGAAATATATATTTTTGAATTTCATTTAATTTTTGGAACCATATTTTATTTAATTTTTAATTTTTTAATTTTATTCATATTTGTCGTTTTTATTCACATAATTTTTTTTCTTTCCTTAATTAAATTAAATTTTAATTTGTAGTTTTTATTGTTTTAAAAAGAAAAATTAATTTTTAGAAAATTTATTGCTGTAACGCTGGGACCCTCTCATTAGCAGATCATTCAATTAGTCCTTCGAAAGAGTGACAAGAGCTTTAAAGATAGTTGCCAGAATGGACAATTGCATTAGGGCAGACTTTGGCTTTCGAATGGCTGCGGTGGGTTGATAAGCAGTTGCCAAAATTATCCTGATAGTCTTAGTTGTTGTCATAGCCAAAAGTGCACCAAATAAATAGTGACAAAGTTTCTGTTAAAATCTTATTTTTGCTGTTTTAGTCACACTTCAAAGACACAAAATTACGAAAAAGAGATTTCTTGTGTATAAAATATAGTCGCAATGGATCTTAAGTTATAGACGGTCGCCTAAAAAAAGAGCACTTTCTCTTCTATGCAATTCAGGTTCGTCGGACCTCCAGCTTAATGACAAAACGACCTAAAAAGCAGATGAGAATGGGAACCATTAAGACATATTCAAACGAGTGGATGCTACCGGAACGAACTAGTTTTACATATGTTTGTCAAGAACTGTAATTTTAACAGCATGTCATCTGAACTACAAGTGCATTATCTAAACATAGGTAGATGCACGAAAAATGAGCTACGGTTGCCCGTACTAAATTTAAAATTAAAAAAGCTTTCGAAAGAATTATAGAAAAGTCTACGCGGTACCTCCTTTTTATCTCACTGGGTTGACGTACACAAAACTTGTTCACTGCTTTTGACAGTGACATAATAAATGTAAAATTTCTCTGCAATGTATTTTCTTCAATTTAATTGTTTCCTTTTCGGGAAAAAACTGTTCCTCTGAACTGCAAAATTTTAAGCATCCAACCCAGCTTCCACAAAGAGGCTTCCTGGAATCCAACGCATGCACACAGCGCCAGATGCAGCCGCTTGCGTCTTCCACCGCCCCTACAGAAGAAATTCAAAGCAAACAGCACGCGGCTGCAAGCGCCATCGCCAGAGTGACTGTGAGTAAGGCCATCGATGAGGCGGTCGCCTGGATACTATCCGACCCGTCGGAGTGCTTTCTCTACAAGTTCCCCCGCGAATGCGAGCAACGGCCCAACACCAACAATCGCCTACAGCTTGCACAAATCGCCGCTTTGGAGGCCTACGGCGCCTCAACTTCGGCGAAAGAGCGGCGGAGCAGCGTGCGTGCAGTCACCAAATCGAATGTGCGCAAACGCATAGACTGGCTGCGCATCGACGAGGTCTCGTTGCACCAGGTCGTGCAGTTGGTCTACGATTACCTCAGCTTATGGCGCCTTACACCG